TAACCAGAAACTTTATATATGTTTGTTACATAATTAGTTTTATTAACTATAACGATTATAACTTCATTGAAAACACATGTGTTGCTACATCGACTGAGGGTTTGGCATGGGGCAGCAATCTTTTTTCTTTTATTAGTTCAATTATATTCTTATTGATTGTAAAGCCTCTACTGACAAGCGAAAAAATAAAATTATTTTAGGCCGCGTAACTGTAGGATTACCTTAAAATATTTATTTTTGTAAACAAATAATATATATTTTTAAAACAAGAAAACTAGAAATCTCAAAACGTAACAAATCATTAGTAATACAATTTCAACAGAATACTAACAAATCGTTAGTAAAATATTTCAACAGAATACTCTAGAACTTTATTTCGCTAAGTCAGCGTATTTTTTGAACCAATAGAATTAGCTTCTTCGTTAATTTGGCGGGTTTTTAGTGTTCGCAAATATTCTTTTTATTCTTTCGCACAAAGATGTTTTAAGAACATTCAAGTTTATTATGTTTCCATGTATGTTTGTAAAACAAAAATTTTTTGTTTCGTACATGTTCTCAAAACGACTAAAAAACCTGGCCAGTTTTTCGCAACTAAATATAATTTTCGTGGTCAGTATTCGAGAGCGATCGCTTCCCAACCAAGCCTGATATATATATATAGGCAATTCCACAGCCCAAAACGAAAAAGTAGTCAAGTTTTATTCTCTCTTTCACCAACTTTTAGCAAATGAATATTAATGTAGACACATGAGAATTTATTTAAATTATACCTTTAGTACTAAAATTAATTCAAGTCATTTTTATGCTTCTGAAAGTTATGGTTTTTCTCATTGTTGCATGATAAAAAAAAGTATCATTGTAAAATGTTATTTTAACCATGAATTTATTTACATATTCCAAATCAATTTAGTCTGAAAATGGAGCTAATATGTTCAAATTGTTGTTGGTCAGATTTTATACTTTAAAATATATTTTTTAAGAAAATAATGAAAGAACTTATGCAACTTTCATGTAGCATAAGTTGATTAAGTTTTGTTTTTTCTAAAATTTAGTTAAAAACATATGTTTTTTAATAATATATGCAAAAGAACATTAAATGTTATGTTTTTACATATTTTTATATAAATTGTTGAATAACGATGCTTAGTTAAAGCACATTTTAAATTTGTGTAACCCAAAATAAAACTACATACATTTACAAAAATTCTGGCGCTTTTTCGTTAACAAAATGAACTACGCCATTAAGTAATTCTTATTTCATCATGTTGGTTTGACAAGGTTCTAACTGAAACTTTTATACTAGGAGAATTGAGAAAAAAATCTTTTTTTTTATGTATTAGGTATTTATGAAGTTTTTGTTTAAAAAATAAAAAAACAGTTCTTGTGATTGGTTAGTTTAGAGCAAATCTCAAAATGCGCTGTTTTGTTTTCATTGTCATTTATTGTATATATTTCATGAGCAAAGATCAATTTTTGCTGCAGAATATGGTTGGCATGCTAATAGAGGGTACATAAAATTATATGATAGAATACCTGACCATGAAAAATCTAGCAGTCATAAATCTTGTTATATCCAGTGGCAAAATTGAGAAAATATTATTAATAAACTTACCACAATTGATTGACTTATAGTAAAATAAATATAAAATGAGACACAGATATGGAAAAATTTATTAAGACGATTATTAAATGCAATTTTGTTTTTTGCTGAGCGTGGATTAGCCTTTAGGGATGTTAATCATTTAATTGGAGATTCAAACAACTGATATTTTCTAGGATTATTAGAACTTTTAAGTCATTGCAGAAGAACATTTAAAAAAACATAAAGCAGACACAAAACAAAAAACATTACTTCTCGGCAGACATACAACATGAATTCATATCATGGACTGTAGCGCACAAGCTCGCATTTTGCATACTAATCCAATGGCTGAATTTTTTCCTAGTGTATGTTATAGTTTAAATTTATGTGGTGTTCATGCAGGGTGGCCACTCAAATTTGAAAATGAAATTCCATGACTTTTTCATGACTCTTCATAAACTTTTATGATAAATCACTATAGTAAAATACTCAGTACTTGCCATGCACTAAGCATTTGCAACTTGGTCATTATAAAACATGCAAACCAAAAACTAATTGGTAGAAAGTTCTAAAATTATGTCTAAAAAAAACCCTTTTTCTTTTACTTCTTTAATAAGTTACATTGCAAAAATATATTTTTCAAAAAGGACTTAGACTAGACATACTAGTACTTTCCTTTGCATCCTAAAAATATTGCAAGTAGAAAAAAATAAAGATAATTTTAAAAAGTTCCATGAATTTTCCATGACTTTCAATGAAAATTTAGGAATTCCATGAATTTTTCTGTGACTAAATAAAATTCCATGACATTTCCATGATTTCCATGACTAGTGGCCACCCTGTCATGCAGCAGAAGCTTGTATTCAAGTTGTAAGATTTTTTGGCACTATACAAAAATTATACAATAAATTTTATAGTAACCCACAAAGATGAGAAATAATAAAAAACAATACTAAAAAAAATATGTTTTTTTCACACTATGTTAAATACACACTGGTCTGCAAGAATTTAAAGTGATAAACTATTTGCTAAAAACATTTTTGAAATTAAAAATGCAATTCTGTTTCAAAATTAAACTTAATGTTGGAAACTCAATTAGATCTTTACAAAATTAAAAAATATATGGATTTTTTTTGAATGCCTAGTACTGGCAAAAGTTTGACAAAAAGTTCTTGCAGCAATTGATGTAGAAATAACCAACTTGCCAAGTCTTCATATAGTATTAAATGCAATTGCTTATGAGATATTATTACAAATTTTATGTTAAAATGACTTGTATATTTTGAGTAATCACTTCACAAAAAATTGATATTTCAAATTAACATAGATCGTTGGGCACATCTTTACAGATAAACGCAGGTTTTTCAGGGGGAAAATTTAATAAAAGGAAAAAAACAGCAAAAGAGTTAAAAAGGATGCTGGCAGAAGAATTTAGAATTAATGTTTTCAATATTTTTATGGATAGCATCATTGGAAATATGACAAGAAGATTTAATAGCAAAACAGCAAAAGAAATATATTCTTTATTTAATTTATAATGGTTGTTCCATGACTTCAATGATAAAGAAATTTAAATTAAGTTTAAAATTTTGCAAAAAATGTATGAAAATGATATCGGTGATCATCTTACAGATGAAATAATACATTTAAAATCAATTTATGATGCCAATATTAAAAAAAATATTGCTCCTCAGCCCATGGAGTTACTAAATAATATTTAAAAAAAAAATTGGATATAATAATTTTAAAGAAGATATTAATTGTTTTAGGAATTGGAAGGCTCGCAAAGCTCTATTATGAAACTGTTTAAAATTTTTTGTACTCTCTTTCCTAACTTTAACTTTTAAAAGATTTAAATAGCTTCGACTTTTAAAAGACTCAACTGATTTTCCTTTTAAATTTTAGAGGCCTACTAGCAGTCCTGAGCATATGAATGATCATAATGCAGGTCTGTTAAGAAAACTTTCCCAGGGCCCTAAATTTCTCTCAGTGGCAATAAATATATATGAACACTGTAAATTCTTAAATCATATTGTGTTGTACTTTTGATTTACAATTCAAAATACAATAACAAAACATATACAATAACAAAATACATATACAATAAACATATACAATAAACATATACAATAACAAAATACAATAACAAAACTAAAAACATTCAAAAAAACTAAAATATTGGCCATTTGAATATTTAACAAAGTTAAAGTTTGTGAAATGTTACCTCAATATCTCTTAAACAAAGGTTTGAGAAATGACAATTTTTCATATTCTTTACATCCAGTGAAATTCCTTCAAACAACCTTCCCACAATTACACCAACTAAAATGAAAAACTTAATTGTTTTAGGAAGTCAGTAAGTTAACTAAACTGAAGAAACAATTATTTGACACTAGTTCTGAATCTTATGCATACAACCAGTGACAGATCCAGGAGGAGGGAAGGGGGGAATATAGGGGGTACCACCACCACCACCACCACCACCACCACCACCACCAGCAGAATCAAAAGTCCTAAAAATATCTTAGATATTTACCTTTTTTTTTAATTGTTAGGAGAAGCAAATATGGTACAAAATACAAAAACATTTCAACACCAACCCCCCAAACCAAAAATTCCTGGATCTGCATTACTATTGCACTATTACTGCATTGCATTGTTTTATTTTAATTTCTTTTTAATTTATATTATTTTGCATTAAAAGTGCAAAAAAATATAAAATTATTAAATTATAAATATGGAAAAAAAAAAAGCTTAAATAAAACCTCCAGGCTTAATGTGCTCATTCAAATTGTCCCAGTGTAAACCAAGCCATATGATTTGATGAAGATCACTCGCGTTTTCAGCTACAGCAACTAAATATTTTTTATATTAAAAACAATTATTATTTAACATATTAATATGTTAATATTAATAATATGTTAAATAATAATAGTATTTCAACTTAGTATATGATTAAACTATTATTGAATCAAATTTTTTTTTTTTTTTAAAACATAACTTAAAAAATTCTTTTTAAATGCAATTCAAAATCACTAAAAACAGAAAAAATCAGAGACTATTATAAATTTACTATTAATTCATGTTTAAAAATAATAACGATAATAATAATAATAATAAAGAAAAGAAAATTAAAGAAAAATAACATCCTACATAACATATCAGGAGCTATTCTAGGAAAATAATTGGGGCAATGGTACCCCAGCACCCTGTCATATGGAAATTTGCTGAAACATTGCCGTATATAGGCATTTTTTCATGTATGCAATTTGCAATTAATATCATTACTTACAAGTTAAAAATAACTACAATCTTAGGAGGGGAGGGGGAGATTAATTAAAAAACCCATAAAATTGTGATTGGCTAGTTTATAAACTTGTTCAAACTTTATTTTTTTCATTGTAGGTAAAATGGGTAAAATTTTTCCCTGAACAATACTATTATGTGATTTTGAATTATCTGATTGTTTAAAATAATAGAAAAATTAGATGAAAATAAAAAAAATGATTAAATAAATTTTGCCTTGGATGGATTTGATGGAACTAAACATGATTTTATGGTATTTTTGTAGGTATATTAGTTGAACAGCCATTATATTAAACAAGGCACTGGCAGGAAAACATTCCTGAAAACTTATACCACCTTGCAATCTTAAAAATGGTGTTTTTAATACTTCTAAGTTGCAAAAATTTTAATGTTGATTCTTTATTTGCAATTTACAACCTGAAAACTTGACAAATTGTTTCAACTTTTTCTTTCAACTTTCGATAGCTTAATATAATACAGAATGTTCACAGATCATCTTTTTTTCAACATGTCAAAACACATAAATTTTTTTTTTTTTTAAACCACTAAAGTGAGCAACCACTGAGTAATTTCTACTCTAAATCTAAATAAGTTCACAAAATTGTTGCATTTTGTTGTTATATTGAAAACTCTTTTGGAGTATAAATTAATTAGGAGTATAGTTTTTCTTGGTCAACAATTTCATAAACTTACTATTGTTTCTTACTATTGTTGACAAATCAAACCTAAGTAATTTTTTAGGATTGTAAAAACACTTTTAAGTTTTTGAAAAAAGAAATTTTGAAAGCTCAAGTTTAAATTGAGTTAATTGTTTTTATGCACCATGGTTGCAAATTAACAATCTTATTAAAGAACCTTGATATTAGATATCTTCAAATAAATTTTCAAAAAGATGCAAAATAAAATGTAGAAGCTATTTACACATGTAGAACACGCGTAGAGTACATACACCAAGTGATTTTTGTATGGGTACACACAGTGAGTCTACATCAAATGTATAATTAATTATGCTTTAATTTGGGCAGTCTTAAAATGAAAAATTATTGTAAAACTTTTTTAATCAACTTAAGTTGGTACCCTGACATTTACAACTGTGCCATAAAACTTTTAAAAAATTGTACCTTCATTAAACTGTATTAATAAATTTGGCTCTGGAATTTTAGCTTCCACTTGAAGAAATGTTTCATCTGTTGCTAGAAATGACTAAATATAAAAAAAATTTATATAAGTAGATTTAATTATATATTTATATGTATTTAAAACAAAATTTAAATTTGAGTAATGTTTAAAACACTTACTTGGGACAATTGTGATACTTGATTATTGTATAAAGTATCTACTAATGTCTTTTGACCCTAAAAAAATTTAAGAATGTTTAGAAAAATAAAATATCAACTAAATTTAGATATCAACTAATTTTAGACTATATTTATTCTCTGTAGAAATTTAATCATAAATAATATATATAATAAAATTCATCCATTTCTTAATTCATCCTTTTCCCATTTTTTATTTTACTAGATTTTTTTTTAGAGATTAAACAAAGATTTTCAAATCGATTTACCCCCTGATACTTCATTACTTTTTACCCCCTGATACTTCATTACTTTTTACCCCCTGATACTTCATTACTTTTTTTAAACTAAAATTTTTGGAATGTTAATTAACATTCTAAAAAAAAAATCTTTTCCACTCTATTGATTTTAGATTTTAATTAAATATTAACAATATAACTGCAAAAATATCTATTGAACTAATAATCTACCTGCATGTTACAATTAATACCATCATTTGCATGCATGTTAAATTTAATACAAACAACTACCTGCATGTTACAACTAATACCATTATTTGAATGCATGTTAAATTTTAATAGAAACAACTACCTGCATATTACAATTAACACAAACATCTACCTGCATGTTGCAATAGTCATTAATACAATTTTTTAACCATTCTTCACCAAATTGAGATTCAAATGATAAAATGAGATGTCCTGTGAAAAATATACAAAACAAAACAAATATAAAATAATCATTTTTTTAATTGAAAAATCAATATTTAAATGAAAATCAAAAAACAACTTTGAAAAAAAAAAAAGAGTGTAAAACCAAAAAAACAATAAAATTGTCAACCAATCAAAGTGTAAAACCAAATTATAATAAAGTTGTCAATCAATCAAAGAGTAAAACCAAATAATAATAAATTTGTCAAACAATCAAAATGTAAAACCAAAAAATAATAAAGTTGTCAATCTATAAAAGTGTAAAACCATAAAGTAATAGTGGTCAATCTGTTAAAGTTGATTATCAATGATATAAAATCTATCAATTACACTTAAAAATGTGTATAAGTAAAATGATACAGTTAATTAATGTTATTTTAAGTATCATAATGTAACAAACATTTCTAATATATATATATATAAGTGATATACCTGCTTGGGAAAGTCTATAGCAAGCCATTACTGACCAATGATATGGTACACTGGATTTTTTAAGTGGAGAATGACGAGAAAATAATTTTGAAGTAATTAAAGGAGCTTTAACTTGCCAACTTGCCATAAGATAGGATGCTGCCATACGATTAGCTTGCATCCATGGAAGTATATCCTGAGTAGGTTTTAAAATAATAATATTATTTTTCAAATTTTTAGATTTAGTGAAATATAATGCAAATAAATTTGTTTCACTGATTGTCAATAAAAAAAATAAAAAATACTGTTTATGTATTTTTTCTATTAAAATAGTTTTTTGAGAAAATCTTAACAAAAGTTTATTCAAATTTTACATATTATCAATTATATATATATATATATATATATATATATATATATATATATATATATATATATATATATATATATATATATATGGCTTTATATTAAGCCTTATATATATATATATATATAAGGCTTAATATAAAGCCTTATATATATATATATATATATATATATATATATATATATATATATATATATATATATATATATATATATAAGGCTTTATATTAAGCCTTATATATATATATATATATATAATATATTATATATATATATATATATATATATATAATATATAATATATTATATATTTATATATATATATATATATATATATATATATATATATATATATATATATATATATATATATAAGCCTTTATATATATATATATATATATATATATATATATATATATATATATATATATATATATATATATATATATATATATATATATATATATATATATATATATATATATATATATATATATATATATATATATATATTAAGCCTTATATATATATATATATATAAGGCTTGGTCAGGAAGTGAGAGCAATTGCTCTCAATTACTGACCATGGAAATAATATTTAGTTGCAAAAAACTGGCCTGACTTTTGAGTCGTTTTAAGAACATTTAAATTTATGTCCAAACAAACAAAAAATCATCCTAGTCATACTTTAAAAATCCAGAAAACTAATTATGAAATACAAGAAGTTTTTGGTTACTAAACACAAACATGCATACTAGTAATACAAGTAACTTGCAGATGAACAAGCATCGCGCCTGAGGTCACAACAGAACACAAATATATATATATATATATATATATATATATATATATATATATATATATATATATATATATATATATATATATATATATATATATATATATATATATGTTTATTCATTTTTAAAAAATTTCTCCATCCACCCGAAGGTCATTAAGCCCCCCTCATCCCCGTTTATTTTAAGTGAAAATCAGTCTTGAGAATTCAAAAACATACAAGTAAGTTACTAGTATGTCCGAATTTACACTGAAAGTTTCAATATTTATCAACAACATTTTTTCAAACAATTAATAGATGAACGTAATCGACTTAATAATGACTTAGATAATAAAAACATAAAAGATTATAGATATGGAATTTGGAATAACAACATCATCAAATTTTCAACAAGCAAAGGTTTATAATTATCCTAACTCAAACAATGTAAAACAATTTATTAAATTTACTTATGATTATCTGTTAGATGAGTTTGTTAAAAGTTTTGAAAACAGGTATCCCTCATTTAAAAACAAAGTGCCGCATAAACCAAAAAATAAATTTAAGCCAGACTTAAAATCTGATTTAACTTGTTTTTATCTAATGTCACTTAATTAAATAATAAAATAGATGAATTGCGTTTTACCATTAAGGCATATTTTCCAGATTTAATCTGCATTACTTAAACTTGGTTTAACAAACTTTCTAATACACTTATAGAAATTTACGTATTATATCGTTGTGATCGTAAAAATGGAAAAATCAAAGGAGGGGTTGCAATTTACGTAAAAAATCAAATAAACTCATATGAAGTCACACTGCCGACTATAAACTGTATAGATACCGAACAAGTTTGGGCTTGTCTAAATTTCGGAATCGAAAAGATTTTAGTAGGTTGCATTTACAAGCCGCCAAATTCAAATAAACTTACTAATGAGAAAATTATAAATATTATAAAAAATGCCAAAAAGTTGATTGAAAAAAAAAAATCTTTACAGATCTTATAATTACAGGTGATTTTAATTATAACACAATTAGATGGTTTTTAAACAAAGCATTACCAGTTGGTATTCAAGCTGAAAAATTTGTAAATTGTCTTGATGAATGTTTTTTAAACCAATGCGTTGTAAATCCAACATTTCAAAGAGCCACTTGTCATGAAACAAACATACTAGACTTAATAATAGTAAATAATGCCAATAGAGTCAATTGAATTCAAAATAGAGCTCCTTTAGGTAACAGAAATCAAGGTCATCACGTAATAACATGGCAATACATTATAAGTGAAAATTTTGTAAGTAAGAATGACACCTTTAAAAAAAATTTTTAATTGGGAAATTATCTTGAAATATTAAACTGTTTAAACTCTATATATTGGAATACTTTTTTCTTGAACAAAAATATAAACGATTGTTGTGAAATTTTCAATTACCATTACCAAACAGTTTGTAAAAAATTTATTTCATTAGTAAAAATTAATCGTAATAACAGACAAATATTTCTTAACAAAGAGATTATAAATGATATCAAAAAGAAGAATAAACTCTGGTCTATCAATAGACTTTCTTTATGGACGAATAGTTTAAAAAAATCCTAATATAAAAAAGCAAAAAGAGAAAAGAAGTTAAAAAAGCGAAAGTTAAAAGTACGAAAAATACATAGCTAAAAAAGCAAAATCAGATCCAAAACTGCTGCATAATTATATCAACAAAAAACAAAAAATAAAAAATTATTTAACATCAATTGAAGATTCTAATTCGTGCATCACTACGGACCAAAAGCAGATCGCTGATACTTTAAATGAATATTTTCAATCAGTATTTATAGGAGATAAAGATGATATTTTAACAAAATTTAAAAAAAAGTTCACTTCAGTTTATTAGTATTACCTCAACTGAAGTTATTAATATGATAAATGCTATAAACTCAAAAAAATCGGTTGGACCAGATAAGATTCATCCTTTTGTATTAAAAGAATGTGTAAATGCTTTTTCTAATCCATTGACTTTATTATTTAACAAATCAATTTATGAAGGTGTAGTACCTATTTCATGGAAGACAGCAAACATAATGCCGCTGTTTAAAAATGGCAGTAGAAATAAAGTTTCAAATTATAGGCCAGTTTCCTTGACTTCAATTCTTTGTAAAACTTTAGAACGTTTAATATCTAACCAACTCTTACATTATTTAAAGATTAACAATTTATTATTTTCTAATCAGCATGGTTTTACAAAAGGCAAAAGTTGCACAACTAATCTCCTAGAGTACACGGATATAGTAACAAAAGGTGTTGCAAATGGTAAATCGTTTGATATCCTTTATACTGATTTCAAGAAAGCCTTTGACAAAGTTTCACATAGGAGATTAGCACTAAAACTTGAAGCATATGGTATTTCATCTACGCCATTGAAGTGGATTCATAATTTCTTTTTTAACTGATAGGAAGCAAAGAGATGTACTTGGAGAAAGTGTTTCATCATGGGTAGACATAGTAAGCGGTATATCACAAGGTTCTGTGCTTGGTCCAATTTTATTTTTAATATACATCTATGATCTTCCAAGTCTTACAAGCCAATTGTTGTTGTATGCAGATGATTGTAAAGTAATAGCTGAAGCTAATAATGAAACTGATGCACATGCTTTACAAAATGACATTTCTATGTTAGAAAAATGGGTAATAAACTGGAGAATGCAATTCAATTTTGAAAAATGTAAAATCATGCATATTGGTAACAAAAATAAAAATTATAAATATTTCATGACTAACAATAATATAAAGCAAGAATTATCTACAACTAAATTGGAAAAAGATCTAGGCATATTAATCTCGAATGACATAAAATGGGAACCACAAATAAAAATTACATCATCTACTGCAAACTATAAATTTGGTATAATATACAAATCATTTAAGTATAAAAATAGTGAACTAATAAAATTGTTGTACTGAAGTTATATACGACCGCATTTAGAATTTGCAATACAGGTATGGAGTCCTTATCTTGAAAAAGATATAAATATATTAGAAAAAATTCAAAAACGAGTAACGAAATCAGTACCTGAGCTTCATCATCTATCATACAGTGAAAGACTAGAAAAAATGAAATTAACATCATTAAAACAACGAAGAATATGAGGAGATCTCATAAAAATGTACAAATGGTATTATGATATAGAGAAAATAACTTGGAAAATACCCCCTCAACATTGGTACTCTTAAAATTTTTCTGGATCGTGTTCAAACATTCGAGGTAATAAACATAATCTATTCACCGATAAGAAATATTTAAATCGAAATCGTGAAGGTTTTTTTACAAATCGCACAGTCAAGTTCTGGAACAACTTACCAATTGAAACAGTGGAAGTTAAAAATCTAAAGCTAAACTAGACTATTTAAAGCTAAACTAGACTTAATTGACTACCTTTAACTTTCTTGTTATGTCTGTAAAAGATTTAACATGGCATTAAATCTCAACAGTATTGTATATTATATATATATATATATATATATATATATATATATATATATATATATATATATATATATATATATATATATATATATATATTGTATATATTATATATATATATATATATATATATATATATATATATATATATATATATATAAATATATATATATATATATATATATATAAATATATATATATATATATATATATATATATATATATATATATATATATATATATATATATATATATATAAATATATATATATATATATATATATATATATATATATATATATATATATATATATATATATATATATATATATATATATATATATATATGGGGCTGTCCATTAATTACGTCAACAAAATAGGGGGAGGGGGTCTGAACTTTTTTGACAATTGTTGACAAGGAGGAGGGGGAAGGTCAAGAAAAGTTGACGTCAACACTTTATTTTTTTTTTGAATGTTACTTTTTTTTATAAATTTAACTATTTAGAAAAAAGGAAAATTAGACAGCATTTGCAGTCCTGTGTTTCATAGTCGCTCAACCTTCAGTATTTTTATTCCTATCCTAT